GCTTAGCGACCCACTCAGCTAAAGGGAAAGCAGCAGGATGGGGGTGAACAGTGGGGGGCCTGGGGTGCCAGCAGCTACTTGAGCCTGGGCTGCTGCTGCAAGAAAAACACATGTACCTGTGTGAAAACAGCACGTTGCCCTGAAAAAGCTGTTCTGTCTGTCATACTTAATCCACCTTAACCAAATCCTAAAAAAAGTCAACACCCCTGTAAGGGCATCATTCAAAGCAGGATTAAATCCTTCAGAAACCTAAAGGATGCCACGTCTCTATTCCACGTTACACAGGAAAGAAACTTCTGCTTATGTTTTTCAGCAAACATTATTTGATGTAAAACAGAGTAAAATATTCATTGTGTAAATGTAATATGAAGTAATTCCTTTTTCGTGCCACCCGTGGCATCTTCTAAATCTGCACAGAATCTGCAGAGTAATTCAACCCTTCCGCATCTTTTATTAAAAACCTAAAATAACACTGTCCCTACTTTCTGGATCACCACGCACCCATGCTCTTTCTCACCACCGTGCCTTCTCGTTACACCACTAATCAAGAACCTTGTAGAAGTCTTGTTTCTGACCACCGTCTGCAGACTACAGGCCACAATTTCAGGAACAAACAACTTGGAAACTTGATTAACGAAAGCACTCGGATCATTGCATGTGTAGAAGCACAAAGGTACAAATGCTTTAGGAATAAAACTTCCAAAAATGGCTTTTAACAATCAAAACATCGTTCTTTCATAGGAGACAATCCCGTAAGGGCAAACCCTTTTTAAAGCACCTCGCTGGCGGTCAGGCATAGCCTGCTGGAGCGTGGGGGGGCGAGGTTTCAGCGTGAGACCTCTCCAGCTGGGAGACGGTTATCACAGAAGTGCCTGGGCTGTGCGAGCAGGAGTATGCGGGCGTTAGCGAGTGGGTGGAAAAGGTGATGACACCGGCGCCTGTCTCTGCCCCGTCTGAGCTGCTGGGGCTCTCCAGGTGCATTTGACTTGCATCTGAAAAAGAAAGAGATGTTTTTGGAGCAGGGCAGCAGGCACAGCAGGAGGCCGTACGCCAGCCGCACAGCTTGCAGCAAAGCACTGCAAAGAGAGCAGCCGCAGCCTCGGGAAGAGATAACTTTTGTTTACTTTGAGTCTCACGCTATGCAAGACCCCTTGCTCACCAAAGCGGACGGCTGCTGGAAAACACCCACCCCATACTGGTGGCTGGAGGGAGCAACCTCCGTGACCATATTGGCCCAGATGTTGTATCAGAAATAGCAGTGGGAGCAGGCCCTATCCGGGGTGCCAGCCTCCCAGATGTTGTGTCAGAAATAGCAGTGGGAGCAGGCCCTATCCAGGGTGCCAGCCTCCCAGATGTCGTATCAGAAATAACCCAGCGGCAGAAGCGGGCCCTATCGGGGTGCCAGCCTCCCAACGCCAAGCTGTTTTGCCCACAGAAGGTGGATGCAAACCCCGCT